ATAACTTTAATAAATTAAAATTTTTATCATTTCTATGTAATGTTATACAAAATTTATTAAAAGATCAAATGATGTGTGTTTATAGAAAGAGAAGGTGCACTTATAGAGTTATAGAGAGTTGACTGTACTATTTTTATAAAAGAATTCAGAAATATATTGTTCATTAATATTATCATCTTCAGCAGATTTTAAATACCCTTCAGATGTCTTCTTTTCATCCTTAATAATATTATGTCATTTTTATAAAAAATTCTTGGAAGTGTATTGTCCATCAATATTACTATCTTTAGTAGATTTTAAATACTTTCAAATGCCTTCTTTTTTGTTCATAATAGTGCTATATTATTTTTTATTTATTTTTTATTATTTTTATTATTTTATTTTTTTATTTTTTATTTTATTTAATTTTTTTTATTTAATTTTTTATTTATTTCTTTTTTATATTTAAATTACCTAATGCTGAATTTTTTTTAAATTTTTAACAGAAAATTTTTTAATTTTACTATCCACTTCAACCTGAACTATTCTATTATTATTGCATATACTAACAACCTCTCCTGTGGAATTGCTGATTTGTTCTAATTTTTGGTTTTACATTTTTTGATTAGTATTATGATCATGAGCAATTGCAACCTTATCCCCAGATTTAAAAGCTAATTGTTTTTGATATACACTTTCTCAAATGACCATTTTATTTAGTAAGTTTTTTTATTTTGTTCAATTTCTTTATGGACACATTTCACTTGCATTGTATAAACTACATATGAGGCTTTATTATTGTCAGTATCCTGGGCAACAATTGTTTCACTAAGTGTATTATAGACTGCTCGCATTTTAAAGCCAAAAAATGCTTTGTACGGAGATTTGTTGTAAGCTTCATGATGTGCCTTATTATAGGCAATTACAAATGAGAAAAGAATATCAATCTATTAATAATTTTGAACTCCAGATACTTCATCCCATAATATCTTAATTAAATGTTAGCCAGTGTTTGGTTAAATCTCTCTATTTTTCCTTGACTTTGGAGTGATAGGCTTGGCTGTGAACAAGCTGTGTTTGGAATATATCACAGGTATATTTTAAAATACTTGTTATAAATTTAGAGCCATTATTAGATTGAAGCTTGTTAGGTAGACCAAAGCTTCTAAACACATTGTCAGTTCATTATGAATAATAGAGTCTTCTTTATCCTTAATTGTAATAGCCCAAACATAATGTGAATATATATCAATTAAGGTAAGAACATAACTATATTTGTCATTATTTTTGGCATAAGAGAGTAAGTCAACCAAGTTAATCTGTAGGTGTTCTAGAGGACCACTTGCTACAATTAGTGTTAAGTCTTACTTTCCTTAATGCTAGTATTTCAGATACAAATTGGATAATTGGTTACATATTTTTCAACTTCTTTATGAGTAATGCCAATATGTTTTTCATACACCATTTTGTATGTCTTGTAGTAATTAAAATAACTAGCTATAATGTGAAATTTTTTAAAAAAAGCATCTCTTATTAACAGGTAATGAATTTTTATCCTTTGTAAATTGTTTAAAAAATAGATAACTATTTTGATTATTATAAATAAAATTTTTACAACATTGTTGAAAATTTAATTTTTTTGTTAGATTATTATATTTTTCAGAGAAAGTGCCATGATGAATGTAGTTAACTATATCACTAAAGCCCTCAGAAATATTGGGAATTTTAGAAAGTTTAACTATTTTAATTTACTACAAAGTAGAGAGAAGTAGAGCATTTAGAAATTAAGATTATTTATATGTGTATGAATTATATCAGGCATATCTAATTTTACTATATTTAAACCTGATTAAAAGTTATATTTATTTGGTATCAAGTATACCTAATTAAAAGTTATATGATTTTAATATATTACTAAACCCAATTAAAAGTTATATAATGTTTTAGGTGCAAAATACCACTTCTTATCTTAGTGTAGATTCTTTGTACTACCCTATCATGTTTTTTCTATAAGTCTGTAAGGGCAGTGTCATTTATTGTCTGATTTTTTTTTATCAAAAGCTTACCCCCCTAGTTTTTAATATATAAATTATCAGATCTTATATATAAAATTTCAATTTTTTTTTAGCTTTCTAATAGTTTTTTTTTTAACTTATTCAACTTGTCTTATTGGTGTGCAAATTTCTATAAGTCTGTAATGTTTTTTTTTTAACTTATTCAAAATGTTTTATTGGTGCAGAACTTTTTTTTATATTGGTGCAGATCTCTATAAGTCTGTAATATTTTTTTTTTAACTTATTCAAAATGTCTTATTGGTGCAAATCTTTTTTTTACATTGGCGCAGATCTCTATAAGTCTGTAATATTTTTTTTAACTTATTCAAAATGTCTTATTGATGCAGATCTTTTTTTTATATTGGCACAGATCTTTTTTTTATCTTGTTGGCACAGATCTTTTTTTTTTATTTAATTTATTCTACTTGTCTTATTGACACAGTTTTTTTTTTTATTTACTTATATACAGATATGATTGCTTTTGTTTTTTTTTTCTTATTTTCTTAACTTATTCTACTTATTTTATTGTCGCAGATTTTTTGTTCTATCTTATACTTGCTAGCAAAACCCGGACAAATTCTAAATAATAAAAAAACAATTGCTATTTATAAAAGATTAAATCAAATAAATAATCTTAATATTTTGTAAATATATTATTTATAACTATAAGAATATATATAATTTGTTTAAATAAAGATTATTAATAAAGTTTTTGAGATATTAGTTATACTAGAATTTGGGATTTGGGATAGCAGACAAATCCCAAACTATAGTAAGTCGGGATTTTGCCAACATGTATATGTATACTATACAGTACATGTATTTATTTATTTTATTATTTTAATTTATTAAATAATTGAAGACAATTTTCATGCACTTAATAAGAAATTAAGAAGCTATATTACAAGTTGCAAATTTTGGGCCAACGTTGAATGTTTTTATAAAGTTCTTGAACCTGCTAAAAACTATTAAATCATTAAATATTAAGTTTGCTGATGTGTTTTTAATTTTAATTAAAATAGCCAATATGATTAAAACTATGCCAATTGTAAATACAACTCTTGAAAGACTTGAGTTTTAAAAAAAATATACAGTATGTTAAAAAAGTTTTAGACAACTTTACGGGCAATAATTTCACGAAAACTGTACCAAATTAAATGACCAATAGTTTATTAAAAAGCTAAAAATTCAAAGATTTTATTAATAAAAATTTAATACAGGATTTGATCCCCATTTTTTTTAATTACAAGCTCACATCGATTTCTTATTGATTCTACCAAGTTCTCTAAAATATCTTGTATGATTTCATCACATTCCTCTACTATAAATTGCTCTAATTTATCTAAATTTTTTGGCTACCGTTTCTTAATATTATTCTTAACAATGTTTCATAAATTTTCAATAGAGTTTAGATCGGGGCTATTAGAAGGCCAATCAATTACTCTTGGTATATTATCATTTAGAAACACTCTAGCTACACAACTTGTATGCTTGAGATTGTTGTCTTGTTGAAATTTCTAATGACTTCCAAGCATTCTCCTAACCTTAAAGAACCTTTTTCTTAATATATTAACATAAAATGGACTATATATTATTCCCCCAAAACAAAAAAGACTAGCTTTACCCTTACAGTAAAATCTACTCCATGCTTTAATTTTTACTTTGTTTTTAGGAATTCTATATACAGGACGTTTGTCCTTATACCAGTACTTTACTGTATTTCTAAACAGTTAAAAGACTGTTTTATCAGAAAATAGAGTTTGGCTCTAGTCATAGTTAAGATATTTCTTTGTCTACTCTACACACTTTTCCATATATTTTGCTATAAGCATTGGTGTGGTATAAGCTCAACCTTTTTTATATTCAAGCTAGATTAAATAGTTCCAAATCATTATGAGAGAGACTTGAACTTCTCTTTTAAGCAAATTTACCACCAAAGTTCTTGTAAATATTGCCAGTGCCCTTTTTATTTGCTGTATAAAAGCTTTGGTGATTCTGTTAGAGATTTTTTTGGGGCGGCCACTCTGCTTTAGATGTACTACACTTTCATTTTTTTAGCTTAGAAATACTGTAATATATATATGGTGAACCTGGGAATACACATTCGTTTGCGAATTTCAGTTGCACTTTGTATTCCTTTACTTCAAAGTTGTTGAATAGCTTTGGCATTAGTATCTTCATAGATATATATTTTACTTGTTAAAAAAAAAAAAAACAAGGAAAACTACTTATAAATATTCTAAAAAAAGATTGATTGATAATTAACAAGTAAATATTTTGCTTGCTAAAATACTAACCAAAAATAGAAATTTTTATGATCATTAAAAAATTGTATGTAATTTTTGTCTAAAGACTTTTTTAACATATTGTATTTCTTTTTACAACAAAAGATAGGTGAATTTGATACTAACTTTTATCTATTAGTTTATTTTCTTTATCCCAAATATCATGGTAAAGGCTTAGTTTTTGAAGTATTTCAAAAAATTTATTAAAGTGTTTTAACTATTTAGAAGTCACTAAATGGGGAAGATAATAGTACATGAGAATTAATTGTGCAAATTTATAATTATAATTTTTGATTATCTCTATACAATTCTTTTTTTCAAAATTATTTTGAACTTCCAGAAATTTGATGGTCTACATGTAAACTGCTACATCATCATCTTCAAAAACTCACTTTATTACTTCTTACAATTACTTCTCACAATACAGGGTATAAGTGTGTTTTTTCTGTTTTAAATTGGTTTACTCAAAAATATCAAAATAGATATGTATTATACTGCAATATTTTATTTTAATTTTTTAGCAGTATGTATATATATATGTACATATTAATTTTAATTTTATTCAAGATTGACTATAAAAAAGATTTTGAATATAGCCAAATTACATGTATACTATATTACAAATGCATACTATAAATTTAATTATGTTGAACAAAATCTTTTAGAAAGTAATTTTTTAAAGATGATGCATAACTATACCAATTTGCTTATTTCAGGTGCTGCTATATTTAAAGAAGATATTCAGTTATATGATTCTGAAGACGATTTTGAAGATGATATTGAAGATAATCTTGAAGACAATTTTATTACAAATAATTTATCTAAAGTCGATTCCAGTATGCTAAAAATTGAAAATAGTGTTAATTTGAATTTTGCTTTAAATAATAGATCAATTTTTAATTCTAGATAAAGTTATTGATCATGGTGAAAATGATTTTGATATTGACGAACTTGTCAATCAAGAAATACAGATACAAAATGCATTAATAGATAAAGAAAACTAAGATTTTAAGTAAATAGTTTGATCTACCTAATTTATTGATCAACCATGTATAATATTGTCTTAGCAAGAACAAGTATATGATATACTTAGTTAAAAGGATCAATTTAAAAACATTATATAATTAGGTTCAATAGTAATAAAAAAAAAATAAATAAAAAATCAATTGATTAAATTGTATATATATATGTACGTATGTGAAGCATATAATGATTGATTGTTATGCATAAATGAAGAAATCAGTAATTGGCAATAATGCAGAATAAAGTAAAATAATGAAATAAAGTAATCAATTCAGAAATCAAAATAAGATGATCAATGATATAATAGGTATATAGTAAAAAAATAACAAAGCAAGATTAGTGGCTTTCTTAAATAAAATGATCAATCAAACCAAAAATAAAAAATACTTACTCTAATCAATTCTATGTTTTCTTTTAATGTAAAATTGATTAATCAATAAAAACTTTTAGTTATAATTTATTATCGTGCAAGATATAAATATTAGAAGTTAACAAATATGTCATATACTATATTATTTATAAATAACCTGCCACATTAAATAAGAGATATTATGTATTGCTACAATATAAGAATCAATACTGTATAAGTGCAAATAATGCTTATGAACATTATTTTAAAGTCAGATCCTTTAAAAATAACTTATAGCCTTGAATTATTACTCATAGGCATTCGAATTAACACAATTCTAATATAGTATTGTGAATAATATGTATACTCTATATATGCATACTTTCTCTATAATAAGTGTATATAATTTAATTAGTCTAATATAATTATTATTATTATTTTTTTTTAATATTCGGCAGTCATGCTATAACTTTATTAGGCTTTGTACAACTCATCTAGAATATGTAAAATTTTGCAACTAGGACTTACAGATAGGATTTATAACTAGTGAGTGATAAACTCTAAACAAGTTGACAGATAGTGTATAAGAACTATCTCTAAATGACAAATACCTTACCTAATATTCCACCTAGCGCTACTTAAATTACAAGTTACAACTAACCCGGTTACCAACTTGGTACCTATGTTCGACCTGCTATAGCAAGATTTCCCTCTTTCTGGACCCCTCCTGCAATTGGATATGACCCAGCTCTTAATAGTGGATCTTGCTGCCCATCATAACTACCTCCTCTTATTTCAAACTTCTTCCACCTAAGCCTAACACAAATAAAACCCTTATTTGTACATAAAAGTAAAAATGTAAAGCCATGTTTATGAAAAACATAAACATTTTAGAAAAAAAAACACCTCATGGTGGGAAAAAAAAACTTTTCAACACATTCTAAAATAATCTAACATAAATAAATTAAGATAAAAAAAGCGAAAAAAAAAGAAAATAGTCATGACACGCTATTATAGCCCATGCTAGGCATAAGGATAAAAATTATATACTAATTGCAACTAAAGTATATCTCAATTATAAAGCCTTCGACTCTATCAAGTTAACTCATTTCGTACACCGACTTGACTTGGAAATCTCCTAAACGGAAGTGTCGATCTCTTTCCTATACTGTAGTACCATATTAGTCAACACAACAAATACATGATTGCATTCCACTGAGTCTATCTGAATTTGGTTGATATAAACAATGCCAATCTTTTGGAGGAAGTAAGCCAAATCTCCATATTTTTTTAAAAATTTTTAGAAGACCGATAGAAAAGCAATAAAAAGTAAAAAGAAGTCATTTGACCAAGTAAAAAGAGTGCAGCTTGAAGAAAAAACATGTTATTTTGTTGTTTCCCAATATCTTCAAAGAAGTACAGCCTAATAGCTTTGTCAACAGAGAAGGAAAATTAGTTCGCAGAGTCCTCTTCTCCACCAAGATTTTTTATACAAGGGCACCTCTTGCCAATTATCTTGTATAATAACGCTTTTGGCTTGTATGCCAAATGTCACTTATAGAGGAGTCTCTTAGAAAAACAGTTGATCTCTAAACAAACCACTATGTAGGCCACGACTCTTTAGCAAAAATTTGTATTTTTTTTCTGTAGGAAATTTTGGTTCAAGTGATTGTCAGAAAGAGTTGTTCTCATTAACTGTCTAATATAATTATTTAATATTATATATAGATTATTTTCTATAATTGAATATTTAATAAATATACTTTTACTCGACAATGTGTATTTATAGAAAGTTGCCTATATTGGATTAAATTAATTTTGATAGTTTTGATATTGAATTAATTTTAACAGTTAAATTAATTTCAACAGTTAAATTATTTTTAACAGTTGATTTAATTTTACCAGTTAATAGGCAATTCTCTAGTCAACTGGACAAAATTTTTTTTTTTTATATATAAATTTTACTATAAGTGTGAATGCACCAAGCCTGTATCTAAAACTTTTTTATACTAAGTAAATCACTCTTTGGCTTCTAACAAAAGTTGTAGAGCTCATCAAAATGTACTTAATGCTAAAAAGATATTAAAATTGGCCTGGTAGTTCTTGAGAAATCTTTAAAAAACTTCTTTTTCACATATAAAATTTCTTTCTATTTTTTTAAAGAAATTTTATATGTGAAAAAGAAGTTTTTTAAAGATTTCTCAAGAACTACCAGGCCAATTTTAATATCCTTTCAGTATTAAGTACATTTTGATGAGCTCTACAACTTTTGTTAGAAGCCAAAGAGTGATTTACTTAATATAAAAAAAGTTTTAGATATAGGCTCAGTGCATTCGCACTTATAGTAAAATTTATATATAAAAAAAAAAAATTTTTGTCTAGTTGACTGAAGAATTGCCTATTAAATTAATTTTGACAGTTGAATTTATTTTAACTACTAAAAAATTTAATTTTAATAGTTAATTGATAATCTGCCAGTCAACTGAAAAAATTTCTATATTAGAATATGACGCAGATCTTATATAAGCAAGCTCGAATCAAAATTTTCAAGCTATAAGTAAAGTCATAAAATTTTTTAACAAATATAGTATTAAAGTAGCACGAATTATAGAACAATACTAAAAGTTTTTGATTATCAAGTTATTAAATATCGATTCTTTTTTTGATGAACTTTACTTTGGACAAACATGTCATTCACTATGTTAACCTTAGTACATTTAAACTTATAACTCGAATCAAGGTATTTAAATAATATCTTGATTTTAACTCATTTTGTAAACATATTTTAACTTCTAGACCTTTAAGAATATATAATAACATTATAAGTGAACAATATTACTATATCTGATTCAGCATTTCATTATACAGTACGTACAAGATACTCTTAATTTATTTTACTAATTTGGTATTTTTTGTGAAGTGCCTCTGTAATGCTTTCTCTCTTTCGAATCTAAGTGTATTGCTTATTTAAATAGGTTTAAGTAGTATTTTTTGCAAAAAGCCTTTTTCACTGCAAGAAGCCTATGCTAATTATTTTCTTCCGTTACTACTAATTGTTTATTGCAAAGTCAGGTGGATTTTTTTGATTTTAATAAATTAGGTAAGGTTATTATTTTTTTGAAATAAACTATTGTCACGGAATTTATCTAACTACCGTGTATTCGTTAACTTTTACTATCGGTCTTTAGTAAAACTATACACTAAGTGGTCATTCTTTTTATATTTATTAAAGTATTGAATCGGATGGTGAAGTACTTTAACGATACTCCAGTTATTATATAAGTTAGCCAAGCTAGTGAAGACTGATAGTAAAAGTTAACGAATACACAGTAGTTAGATAAACTCTGTTACACTATGTATTGCAGCACTCATATTTGAAGAGACTATGCTAATATATTTTCTACTGAAGAACCAAGTTAATTGTGGTCAAGTTTTCACTATAAGAAATTTTATCCGAATATTTCTATTATCTATATTTTTTGTAAAAACTCCGTGACTCTGCAACATGATTGACAAAACCTAGACAAGTCGAATAATCTCATGATTTAAGGTTATTATTATTATTTTTTTAATATTAAGGTGACCACTTAGGCCCTTGGCACTTTATTAGTACAAGCGGTAGGCCAAT